CCCCAAAACCCCAAAACCCCAAAACCCCGAGTCAGCATATAAATATGATTGTTTGATTTCGAAAGTAATAAGTTTAATTTAAAATTGAAAATGCTTGATAAAAGTAATGCGAGCAACTAAAATCTGAACATCTCATTACAGTCAATTGCATCGCAAAAGAATTCGAGGAAGAGTACAGGAGTGGCTTCTCGCAAAACTAATAACTTTTTAAGACCTAGAGTAACTATATTTAACCAAGAGGCAAGAGATGGGGGCAAGACAACCAAGTCAAAATTGCAGCTTAACAAGTCAACTACAGATTTGGATAATCAGTCCATCAATAGATCAGTAATATTACCAAAGAAAGAGATAAATTAGAGTACCAGTAGAAGAAGGCAAACAAATACAAAGTCATATCTTAACCAGTCGAACATATCAATAGCACAAAAAAATACTGAAAGCAAAAGTTAGACTTAAATTGATGTTTAAGTACCTCAAATTGACATGAGTTTTATCAGTAAGGGAACTTAGCAAATAAATAGTGAGCGAAGGCGTCTCACAAATTTGATGTAAGCTAGAAGAAACAGATCCTAAATGCTATCAAAGTCAAGAATATAGGAGGATGGGGATGCCGACTAATTGAACTCAAGTATTTTAAATCATTAAGGATTACTGAACAACTTGAATCATAGTTAGATTGTTCTGAATTCCCAACCAAATAAATTAGAGGAGGCTAAGTTGCGGTTCATAGAGTAGAGAGATAAGAGAAAATACGATAATAGAGTGATTGGCTTCTACAGAGAGAGGGAGATTGTTAAGAAGATTGATGATATTGTGCAATCTAAAAAAGACTTTGATATGAGCTGCGAGAGGATCACTAAACATACACTTAACTCAGCCAGGCAATAATTGATATAGTTAAGTCAGTAACGAGCAGGGTCTAAAGATAAATTAGATCAATAGTAATGCTTAGAAAGGTAATACCCAAAAGTTAATCCCTTCAACTTGGGTTTCCATAGTAAAACCTCAGAATAGGATCATAGCAAACAAACCAAGTCGGGATTAATGACCTAAAGAACAATATCAGAATAAGAAATGGGACCAGGGCCTGGTGTAACTAAGAGATAAAACCAAGCAATGAATGAGTAAATTGACAATGAGGAACTGACGAGTGGGGATTTTCAATACTACACTGCAAGGAACTCTTTCTCACAAATGTCGAAGAATAGAATGATGAATTTTAATTTCAACAAAGATAATCGAGTACTGATGCCCAAGAGACAATATTTAGAGAACAAAATAAAGTCATAGCCAAAAACAATAATTGAAACATAGCAGTGTAAGAACACATCTGATGTAAAGTAAGAGATATTAAAGCAAAAGCCTGAGCCAAACCCAATTGTTGAATATCTGTTAATATAACTTCAGGAACTAAGCTTATTCAAGTAGTAAAATACCCAACTGCTCCCTTCTTAGCCAACAACAGATACACAGACAAACAGTGTAGTAGAGCAGTAATTGCTTTAACTAACTCTGAGTATGGTGAATTTTCTCAATTTTCACAATTAAATCATGAACTCAGAAACCAATTAACTTTTAAATACTACAGCTTGCAATGATCCTAATTCAAATGCGACAGCAATCAACACTAAAATGAGAGAATAAGCAGATAATGATACGAGTTTAAATACTATTTCTAATCAGACAGTAGTCTAAATATCCAAAAGAAGGAAATGGAAGGTAGATAAAATGGTCGGAGATGACACTCCAAGTGATAGCCTAAATTATTGAATGAAATAAGAAGCATTATAACATATAAATTTGGAATACTTAGATCACGACTAAATTAACTTAAGATTTATGTAGATAGTTTGACTTTATACTGATTTTTTGACTATTTAAAAAAAGTTAGATATTTTTCGGATTAAAAATTCTCACAACTATTATTAATTCAATGGTTTGTATTAATTATTGCACTAAACTATTAATAATAATAATTCATAGACACAAATAATTGAATTAGAAATGTCATTCTTCCGTAAAATTTTCAGATTCAAGGCAACTTCGGAGATCCCTGAGCTGACTGAGTTCCTTTCAAAGAACGAGACATTTAAAAAGACAGCGAAGAAGATACATACTAAGAAAGTAGGGTTTTGGAATTCGCTTGACTCTTACCTAGAAAAAGAACTCTTAGACGGGAAAAATGTGCCCAAAGGCCCTCCCAAGAGAATAGACAGCATTAATTCTAACAATAGTAGCATAGGCAAGAAATGATAGTTTAAGTATAGTTGTATTTGCATTAATTGAAGTTTGCTTAAGCAATTAAATAAAAATCTGTGTTTATTGAGGATTGGGTTTATGTAATAGGGAATTGAGGCCTATATTTTACAGCACTGGCTTCTAACATGCATTTATTTCATGCGAATATTCCACAAATTCTGACAAATATTGACTTTATGGGGTTTTGGGGTTTTGGGGTTTTGGGG